GGACACAATCCTGAACATAAAACATACACAGTATAGAGAAATATTAAATCATGCTTCAGACTGAGGGCATTCATTTCAGTTTAACCCTTCAGCATATTTCTCCTTTTTTTTTCTTATTCCATTTTAAAAGTTAATTTTTAGAATTAAACATAAGGAATACTGCTGCAGATGCCATAGACAGTGGTGGGGGAGGGGTAGCGGAGGGCAGGTTTTCAGTCTCCAAGACCTTGTGCTGGTAAGGACCATGTGCTTAGCCCACATTAAAGATGGCTGAATAATGACCCCAAAGACATCTACATCTTGATCCCTAGTACCTGTGAACATGTTGCCTGAACATAATGAAAGGGACTTTGCTGATACAATTAAGAGTCTGGGGATAGAGAGATGATCCTGGTGAGCCATGTGGTCACTATGGTCCTGATAAGAGGCAGGAGAGGATATGACGACAGAGTCAGTGGCTTGGGTGATAGGCTTTGAAGACAGAGGAATGGACTTCACAGGAGCCAAAAAGCATGTGGCCTCTACCAGATGGAAAAGGAAATGTAAGAGATCCTCCCTGGAGTCGGCTGATCTCTTGATTTTAGCCCAGTGAGTCTGATTTCTGACTTCTGCCTTTCAGAGCTACATGAGATTAAATTCCTGTTGTAAGCCACTAAATTTGTGGTAATTTGCTACCCTGTCCATAGAAAGCTAACACACAGATTATCTGCCCTGGATATTGGCATCAAATATTGAGTTTTATGTAAACTGCAAATTATTAGGCTATTATGTTTTCAAATTTCCTTGCATTTTAATACTTCAGAGTAAATATAAAGCTGAGCAAGAAGGGGTTTTGAAGCATTCAGAGGCCCCCTTTTCCACTGCCAGCTATGTGAGTTGGGACAACCCTTCCCTCAAACCTTGTTTCCTCTCAAGGAGGCTGCAAGGAATAAGACAGAAAATGTAAGAGCCGCAGAACGAGTTCTACTATGTGAAGCTGGAATTCACGTTGACCTTACAGTGCTCCAGGCTCCTCATGTGCAACGTGGAGATAATATTAGTCACCATCACATAGGAGAGTGAGGATTAAGTGAGTCAAGGATGTCAGGAGCCCAGAGTTGCATTGCAGGTGATGCACTGTATGTGTTGCTTTTATTAAAAAAAAGAAAGAAAAAATAACTTGCTAAGATGTTGCAAATGATCAATAAATGAGCCTGGCATACCTGGCATGTGCCTTTTCCACAGCATCTTCTAGGTCTAGTCTAAATGCACTGTGTTTTATGTGTCCCACTGAGACTTGGTATCTGCCTTCATTGACCTTGTGATCTAATTCAGAAGCCACAAGAAAGTCCCTGTCCAGGTCATGAGCAGGACTGACTTTGAACACTCTGTAGTTTCAGTGTGGGGGGATGGTAGAGTTACGGGGAGTCCTGCCAGAGGAGAGAGGGCTTCTGATGGACTCTGAGAGGCAGAGGGGAGGGAAACTGCAGGTGGGTGGGGAGCAGAGCAGGTAAAGGAATGCAAGATGGGGCCACAGCTGGGCATGTGGCAGGGGCAGATGTTCAGTAGTGAAGACCTCAGACTTTCACATAGTGGCTTTATGATATGGCTACAGAGAATCCTTGAGAAAAATCCTAGCAGAAGGCAGTCGTGATCACACTGTTTCAGATTAATCTGTGATATATATAGCAGTGAACTTTTAATCATGCTGTGGTAATTCTCCAGTGTGTTACAAGGGTGTGGTGTCTCAGAGTTCATTTATAGCCAACACCAAAGATGAAGAGGAGGAAGGGGAAGAGGGGAAGGATGAGTTTAATAATCTAGAAAAAATGGCAGAAGAATAATATGTGAAAAATGTAAGTATTCAGAAGCCATCCAAATAGAAACAAGATACTAGAGCTAGATAGGCAAATATTAAATGAGTTCTTCATACAAGATCAGAGATCAAAACCAAGAGATAAATTATTGAGTAAGAGGTAAAAATGAAATTAAATGGTCCTCTAACAACCAAAGCTGGAATTTGATTTCTGCTTTATTTCTGCTTGTTTGTTTCTAAGACAAAAATTTAATATAAGTACTTGGACTTAATGCTTGGTCCTTGGCAGACCTGCAGAATATATAAATATTGGCTATTCACCATCTGTCAGGCAAGTGCTCAACAAAGAACAAAGGAGATTGTGTTCCTATCTAGCAGGGGACAATTCATGTAATTTGTCCTTTTTATCCAGGAAAAGAAACATACACAAGAAATTTGTGGTGACCCTGTGTTCAAACAGCAAGGAGGAAGAGGTGTCCACGCCAACAGACTAATGCCCATCAGATTGCCTTTTTTTAAGTGAAGGATTCGAACCCATCTCCTTTTCTTTCATCTGAACAAAGGCTGGGGGCTGGTTGAAGGATGAGATGCATCAGCAACATCCTCTGGCAGATGTATATAGCTAAATGGGAAAGAGAATGCGCACGCACACCAGTTTCCTTATCCCACCTGGGACTGCTGAAGAATCAGTGGTCTAACCAGGCAAATGGGTATCAGCAGCTGGTATCCTAACTAGTGGTGTCCTAAGCCACATCCAATCAGCTCTGGGGCTTAAAGTTACTCCTCTTTTCAGCATACATGATTTCCTTTCTTTTTAGTAGAGATTGAGAATGACTAATTTTGCCCAAAAAAGCTTACCTAAAGGAGTAGGATTCTAGAAAATAAGAAGAATAGCCTATGGTTTACTCCAGGCTTAGAGAGTCTGACCTGGAGGACAAAGCCAGAAATTCAGGGCCCATGGGAAGGTACACTTGATCTCCTCATTCATTTTGTCTCATAATAAACATTTTAGCTACAATCTACTCTGTACCTGATGACAGGACATGATACTGGTAAATACATGGACTTTCTGACAGTGGAAACTGATTTGAACTGATCTTTACCTTTTCCTAGGGTTAGTGGCACAGTTTAAGGTCATCAGTTTACTCTAATTAGAGACAGCTCAGCATAAATGCACTAGAAGCCAGGAACCTGGGTTCTGGTCCAGGCGGCATGATCTTGAGCAATGCTACCCCTAGGCCATGGTTACATCATCCATAGAACAAGAGTGCTCATATATGACCCTCAAGGCCCCTTTCAGCCATACAACAATGGGGTTTGGTATTATGGAAAGTACCCCATAAAACAAGAGTGATGGCCACCCCTAAATTTGCTAGCAGTGTGAACCCCAGTTTCCTCAAACCTAAAATAAGGATAATAAAGCCTAATTTTCCCTGGAGAGTTGTGAGAATTAACTTCAAGTAGATGTAAAATAATATATATATATATATTTCTTAGTAAAGTCCTGGTACATGGTGTTCAAGATATAGTACATTCTCTTTACTTCCACAAACCATCACACAGTGGTATAGAATTTATGAACTTAGCCATAATACTTTTAAGCTTGAAAAGAAAATATATAGTCAGAGTCTGTTTCTAGCTATTTTGTAGTCATCCCTCAGTACATTCAAGGAATTGGTTCCATGATCCTCCTCTGATTTGGTTCCAGTTCTCCATGAAAAATGGCATAGTATTTGCATGTAACCTATGTACATCCTTCTGCATACTTTAAATCATCTCAAGATTACAAATAATGCCTAACTTAATGTAAACGCTATGTAAATAGTTGTTATACTGTATCGTTTAGGGGGTAATGACAAGGAAAAAAAAGTCTATACATGTTTAGCTCAAAGGCAACCATGCAGACTTAACCAGATTGTACATAATGTGCCATTGCTTAAACCTACAGATGTGGACAATCTGGATATGAAGGGCTGACTGTATTTTAGTGCTTTGCTCACTTGCTCCTTGGAGTACTTAACTAAACCACAGCCCCAAGATGGACAGGGAGAAGAAAGGAAGGAAGGGCCTGGAGGATATCTGGCTGCCTGGGAGTGGCAGCCCCTTTCTCAGCAGTGAGGCAAACCTTTGTAAGTGGCCAGCCTCTCTCTTCAGGTGGTGACCATATAACTTATCACCCAAACTAGGACACTACTGAATGTTTAAAACTATCTCAAACAAGGAAGTACGTCCCTGCCACCTTTCAGGCTTACTTTTTGTGACCTTTCTTGTCACTTTAAAGCTAAGTCTGATGTCCAGATGATGAACGAGCACATTGCAAAATAAGATATGCAAGTGATCAGTTTAAAATCCTTTCGTGTTCTTCAAAGGCAAAAAAGAAGGTAATTTAACAAACTGGAGAAATATACATTGATTTTTAGATAGATGGCTACTATAATAAAATAGTTGGGTTTTTATTATTATAATGTAAAATTTTGATGCAACATCAACAGACATTTTTGTAAAGGGAGGGAGAGTAAATATTTTAGGTTTTGTGAGCCATATGATCTCTGATTCAACCACACAATATGCCCTTATAGTGCAAAAGCAGCCACAGATACTAAGTAAAAGAATGGGAGTGGCTATGTTTGAGTAAAACTTTACTTACAAAAAGGGCTGCAGGGTTGGCCTTAGCTTGTGGGCTGGAATTTGCCTATTCTTGTTTTAAAACAATGGTTCCCAGATTAATAGAATTCACAGGAACAGGAAAATGAAGATAGATATCTGAAATTGACTTTGGATTTCTAACTTACTTTGCTAGGTAATGAAGTTAAAAAAAATCATTATCTCATGGCCAAATTTCTTAGAATTTTTAAACAGCAAAAGTAGAAAGGGCCTGGATTCGGAAACAATTTAGCTTTATGAAAAACCCACCATATTATCTATATTTTAGAAATTTTCCCTTAGCTTGATTCCAACTCTGTCATGAATACACTCAGATTAACAGATGGATCATTTGAGTTGCTTTTAGAGATCAGTGGGGTGTGGTATAGTAGAAAGAACATGGTGTTCATAATTAACAGCTTTAGATTTGAATAAGGTTAAAGAAGTACTAAGAAGGAAGGGATGAGCGGCACTTGAACATTCCCTTAGTGGAACAAGAATTCTTTGCCATGAATAGCTATTGCAAACATACACTCCAATATTCAGGAACCTGAGAACTCACCGGTTGCCACTGTGCAGGGTACCATGCTGGGGGGCAATTGAAGCGGTTGCAAGCTTGCACCGTGCTGGGTTTAGGATGGCGACACAGATCATCAGCCAGGATTACCATTTCATTCAATTCTCTGGAAAGCAGGTGAGAGCAGAAGACATCTCTGGTCTGCAGGCCTACACCACAGGTGAGACTACATGGACTCCACTTGCCAATTTCCCACCTGAGAAAAAAAAATCAGAGAGGACCAAGACTGCCTTAGTTCCCATGCAGAGATCATTTCCCATGAACTCAAGGGTTATTAATTGATTAAAAATCTCCAACTGGGAATGTGGGAAGTTCTAGGCAAAGATTGGCTAGGAATTCTATCCTGTGCCTAGAACACGTCCTTCCTCTTTATACTCTAGAATTCACTTAGAGTAAAGCAAAGAGGGTGGCAAAGTAGAACATTCAATATTTACCTACAAAATCTCCATGTCTACTTTGATGGGACACACAAGCTTTGTGAAAATTAAGGTGCTATGTGACAAATAAGTTATGTACATAAAAAGTTTGGCTACCACATATTGAATGGTGGGTCTAGGAAAAGATTTTCTGCTAATTTTTCTAACCCCCATTTTCAGTGAGACTGAAAAAAAAAATTGTGCTTGTTATTCTTTGGCTTCAAAGTGAAAGGTCATTGGCTCCAACTTTCTTCAAACTTCCATCACAGTCCAGAAACATCTCTGTCTTATGTATAAATATCATCACTGCCTGGGACTGGATAATGTAACAGAAATGGAGGCTGCTAAATAGATCAGTCTTCCTGAAGGGAAGTAAGTGGAGTGAGCGGCTCATTATCTGGACATAGAAGTCAAACACACAGATGAGTTGAGTGCATGAATTGGCCAGTTCTAAATGGCTGAGTCTTGAGAAGTACATTTATAGTGAGCTAAGGGCCTATAAAAACAGCCCACTGCACCTCCCCATTGTTGCAGCCTCCAAAATGCGAATGATAAGTACAAAGCTCAGTTGCTTGGGCTCCAAGTCAGAGCGTTCTCTAATGATCAGTTTTAGAAGGTTCTGTTTACGGTAGGAGGCACAAAGATTCTACAAACGGGAGTTCGCCAAGAAAAGCATGGCAGTAGATCCCTGAGTAGCTAGTCTGCCTAGCTTTCATAGCCAGCTCAGAAAATTGGTTTAACAATCTTTGGCCTTAATGATTTTTCATCAGACTGTAAAAGTAAGTGTCTACTCTCATCTTTTCCTGCTATTCTAATAGGTACCTACTGTCCTATTCCTATGTGCACTACTCCTTTCATCTACACTGTTTATACCTGTAATGAACTACATCCATTTATGCCCCAGAGTTTTCTAGCTCCATCTTTATGTAAGCTGTATTCCTAGTTTGGAATACCTTTTGTCTTTCCCTTATCCCTCAAAATTTCTACCATTTCTACATATTCAAATTTCACTCATATTTAAAAGATGGCATTCACACTTGCTCTAGACACTGGTGATTTTCTTAGTTGCATTATAGTTGTCCTGTCTGTCCAGGGTTCTGCTACAGAACAGACCTTCTGAGGTCAGGCCTGTGTCTGAGTCAGTTTTGGAACACTCACAGTGTCCATCATGCTACCTTGTAGATGATTAATGTAGAAGGTTAATAAATTCTTGACAAATGAGCAAATAGAAGGGGTCTTCCATCCCACAGGGCATGTAAACACATTAGCTTATTCAGTTTTCTCCAGAGACATAGGATCCATTGATTTCACTCATTTTATAATTGAGGGAATCTGAGAATCCAAAATGCTGAATTCTTAAGATGCCCAAATGCCTATCATTTATAAATAGTAAAGCCAGGATTTGAACTTGGATACATCTGACTCCAAAGCCTGTGTTCTTCCTATTGTACCATGCTGTCTCCTGGAAGTACCTTAAAAATTCTCCTATAATCATTACAAAATTTTAAATGATTAGAAGAAGAAAGGCTGGGTGGAATATAGTTCTTTTTGATCCTTATGTGAATTTATATAAATTTCTCTTATTTTTAACCCCCCAGGCGAATTATTTTCAAGTTATAAATTTTGTGGTGCAAGAAGGGTTTTTAGATTTGTCCAAACATAAAAGGATGTGGGGAAAAAGAAACACTCATACATTTCTGGTGGGACTGCAAGTCAGTGCAACCACTGTGGAAAGCAGTATGGAGATACCTCAGAAAACTTGAAATGGATCCACCATTGATCCAGCCACCCCACTCCTGGGTTTATAACCAAAAGACTTAAAATCTACATATTACAGTGACACAGCCACATCAATATTTATAGAAATTCAATTAACAATAGCTAACCTATGGAACCAACCTAGATGCCCTTCAACAGATGAATGGGTAAAGAAAATGTGGCACATATACACAATGGAATATTACTCAGCCTTAAAGAAGAATGAAATTATGGCATTTGCAGGTAAATAGATGGAGCTAGAGAATATCATGCTAAGTGAAATAAACCTATCCCCCAAAACCCAAAGCCTAATGTCTTCTCTGATAAGTATATACTGATCCATAGTGGGGGGTGGGTCGGGAAGAATAAAGGAATTTGGTTTGTGTAGAGGAGAGTGAGGGGGAAAAGTGGGGTTGTCAGGATGGGAAGGTCAGTAGAATAAAACAGACATTATTACTCTGTATACATGTAGGATAGATACAGTAGTGAAATGACTCTGTACCATGTAATAACCAGAGAAGTAAAAAGTTGTGCTCCATTTGTGTGTAACATGTCAAAAGGCATTCTACTGTAAAATAAGTAAATAAATAAGATTTGTCCAAATATCATGTCCTGCTCCTTCCTTCTAAAGGTTGAGTCTTGAGCATGGGCTGGACATAGAGGCTCTCCCTTCCAATGACTCTAATGAGGCAGAAGTGATGCTCTGAGACTTCCAAGGCTAGACCATAAAGGATATAGTTCCCCATGATGCTCTCTCTAATGGCTTATTCATGGTGGGGGGAAGCTAGCCATCATGTCAGGAGGACACTGAGATGATCTTAAGGAGAGTCCACCTGTAGAAGAATGGTACCACTGTCAGCCCAACTTGCCACTCATGTGCATAAGGTACCTTAATAGCACATCCTCCATACCAGGCTAGTCTTTGGATGACTGTAGCCTCAGGAAAGGCCTTGTGCCCAAACTGTCTATGGTTCTTCCAGATACCTTACTCAATAAATTGTGGGAAAGGGTAGATGTTCATTGTTGTTATAAGCCACTAGGTTTGGAGGGAAATTTGTTATGCAGCAATAGATAATTAATACAAGTAGGCACCCCTCTCCAATGTATATATATTCATCCAAAGACATATAAGAATATTCATAGAAGCACTACTCATAACCACCCAGATGAGGAAAAACAAATGCTCATTAACCAATGAATGAATAAAAAATTATGATATGTTCATACAAAACTATATAAAACAATAAGAATAAACCATAGCAATAAGCAACACTGTGGATGAATCTTATAAACACGAAACGGAGTGAACAAAGCCACAAACACAAAAATTGATATGTTTCATTTCAATTATATAAGCTCAAAAACCAAAACCAATCCGTGGTGTTAGAAGTCAGGCTGGTGGTTACCCTTGGCAGGTAGGAGCTAGAAGAGGGGTACGGTGAGGAGGGCTTTCCCGGATGTTGTCTAGATCTGGGTACTGGTCTGGGTCCAGTTCATGAAAAACCACTAAGTCTTACGCGTAATATTTGTACATTTTTTTGTTTGCTGTGTTTCAAAAAGGGGTTTTCCCCCCAACTTTAAGTGAAATCCTAAAACATGGGAGTCAAACAGAGTCCAACAACCACCCCGATGCTGATGACTGCTCTGTGTGTGTCTCAGAGGGCAGCTGCTGCATGGTTAGTGCTGACCCCAGGTTCACCTGTGCCAGGGCACAGGTTTTTATGCTCACTCCCTGGGCCCCTGCCCCCACTTCTGTTGTAAACCCAGTTACCAGGACCTTGAAGCAGAGGCATTTTGACAGCTATTAGGCCAGTTAAACACTGCACAGAGAAACTCACAAAGCAGACCTCTCTGCCTTACCCTGATAAAAGCACATTTTACATTCCCAGGGAAGGAGGTCAGCAGAAACCATCTGCACATTAAGCACGTTTGCTGATTCTGGGTCAAAAATATTTTAATCAACTTAGGCCAAAAAAGGGGAAAGCAGGGACTTTTCCCTGCTTCTGTCCTGCATAGAAGCTGCCCTCATGGGCTGTGGATCTTGCATTTTGGACTTGATTTTGGCTTCCAGAACTGGGAGACAATAAATTTCCATCCTGTTAAGCCACTGAGCCTGTGATACTTTGTTACAGTAGCCCTAGGAAACTAAATCACTTTAACCTCAGCACTTCACACAGTGTCTGGAACACAGAAGATGTGCAGTTAGTTACTGTGTGGTCATTTAAGTGGAGTTGAATTTTCAGTGAACTGTGTGTACCTTTGGATGAGTCACTTGGCTGGTCAGCATCTCATCAGTGTCCTTTACACAACTGCTTGCTTCCAGTTTCAAAGTCTCCAAAGCTCTGAACACCATAAATTTTTCTTCAGTGTGGTACAAACTCTTTTTTGTGACAAAACTGAGCCTAAATTGACATGCTTTGATAGGCTGCATCCCACTTTGGGTAAATATTTATACATTTTTTACTGCAGTAATTTTAGCCTGTTGGAGTATGGCATTTTCCTCCAGAAACTGCTAGGGATATTATACAATTTATGTCTTAGTCATCCAAAGTCTTTCTAAAATACAAAAAAATTGTGAATTCTGAAACACATCTGCCTCCGTGGTTTTGGCTGGAGGCCCGCCGCCACGCATGAGGAGGGTGGTGGGAGCTGATGGGTAGGGTTCTTGCCCTTCTAGGCTTTAGGTGTTTCAATCATGGTTGGGCTTTTAGCCAGAATGTTACACAAACTCTAGTTTCCCCCACATTTTTTTTCTATACTTTTTCTTTCCTCGGAGCCCTTCTTCATATTACTGTCCCCTTTGTCAAACCCTTTTTGCAGGAGAGGTTCTGAGTTGGTGCTCTGTACTGCCAGACTTGCCCACTTCCAGAACAATCGATCAACTCCTGACCCAGGGCATGCAGGAGCCGGGCGACCCTCCTCCTCAGTGATTGGAATTAGCCTTCCTACCTCTGCCCAGCCAGAGGTGTTCTTGAGTTGACCTTCACTGTAACTGGACTTGAGACATTAGACTTGGCTTCCT